AATTATTTATGTAGAGATACTGCTTGCAAACCAATGATGGTAAGATGATGTCATGGGGTAGGACTGGATAAGTCTGACTTCTTCCTACTCCGTTCAAGCATGTACTAGGTATAAGCACATTGATAATGCATTTGTGGATATGTGTGAAATTATGTGTGTTGACATATTGACTGTCTTTACATGTTTGAAAGAATAAATCAAATCAAATCAAACTTCTACATGCTTGTCTTTCATTTCCTGTCCATGTTTCATACAAAGCACCTTTCTCCTAATTTGACTTTATGGCACTCAGGTGAAGTCTGCAGAGCTGTTTGAGGAGTGGGTGTCAAAGCTGCGTCATCACCGCGTGTTTCGGCAGAATGAGATTGCCATGTATCCCCATGAGAGGCTCCTTTTGCACCCCCATGCCTTGTCCTCCCCCTCCCTCAATGACTCCCTGAGAAAAGTAAGTTTTTCCAGCGCTCATTTGTAGGACAAAAAAATGAAAAAGTCTTTAGTGTTGCTCTTAAACTCGATTTGGGATGTGGCAATTTGAAGTTACCATATGTGCATCACCCTTTCTCATCCGTCTCTCTCTCAGAGGCTTACTCTCACCAAGCAGGCATCAGTTCACCAGGCTAAAGTCAGTTCTTGGCTCCACTCTTCAGGGGACATGGATAAGTGCTGCAAAGGTTGGTTGTTATTTGTTGTTTTGCCTGCTTTCTTGACTTATTAATTGTCTGCTGGCTTGCTTGTTATCCTCCCTTGTCAACAGTTTTTCTTACCGTCTGTCTCACTGCTGTGAATCCTTCACCAACTCAAACTTTCATCTTATAATACTTCATCTTTGACTCAGACTTGGAGGCATGTGAATCACACCTCCTTGAGCTCAACCTGTTGCTGAAGAGCATGGAGGTCCTCCATCGCACATACTCAGCTCCAGCCATCAGTACACTACAAGTAAGCAAAGGCACACAGATTAGGTTGGGTACAGCGTAAAATGTGGATGTGTTCTTTGTCTTTATTAATGCCATTTGCAGTAATTTCCAGTGAAAATGCATTTGCAAGCTTTGGTGTGTTACAGAAAAGTGTCTGATGTTCCCATGAACTAAGAAGCAAAATAATAGTCTTACTCATGAATTAATATAATGTATTTGGGTCATTTTGGTCAAGTCATTTTGTTTACTAGCCCCTGATATATTTGGTTTATGTGGCACCACAGGCATCCACATATGACATTCCTAAAAAGGAGAAGAGGCCAAGGAGGTGGCGATCCAAAAACAATGGCAAAGAAACCAAATCCACGCTACAGGTACATGCACAGCATCTTTTTTTTCTGCCCATTATTCAATATCAGTTAATGAGCATTCAAAAGTGGGAATGAAGGGGAAAATAATAGCTAGATTTCTCCACCTCTCTCTGTGTATGTTCACCAGGTCTCGAGCTCTGAATCTTCCAAGTCCCCTCGTTTCCACGCCTCCAACCCCAACCTTTCCACCACTGAGTCCAACACCCAGGAAGTCTGTGCCGAAACCCCTGACTCGCCTACAGACATGTCACATTTACAGGAGGAGTTCTGCAGACTGGCCAGCAATAGTGAGTCCCCCTATAAGTCTGCACAAGATTGCGAAGGAGATGCACTTACTGTAGACAGAAAAATATGCTATTTTTCTTCTATATAATAAGATAGTTTCCATGACAACTCTGTAGCTACTGTCTCTTTTTTTTTTCTCTCTCTCTGGCATTTGCCTCTCTCTAGTCCACTCTATACTGAAGTCGGCTTTTAGTTCCCTGGTAGCCGAGAGAGACAGACTGAGGCACACCGTCGACCTACAGGCCCCTCAGTCAGCACAAGTCATTAGCTTAAAGACATCTTATGCCTCAGTGAGTGAGGCCTCATGATTATGCATAATTACAGCACAAATACGCCACAGGCCCAATATTTCTCAGCTGACTTCTTATCATCTGAACAGGAATGTCCAGACGGTTCCCAGTCCTTGGTCCACCAAGTGTCCAGTGAGAGTAGATCATCTATCCCAGAGTCAATGTCAGAGTTCTTTGATGCTCAGGAGTACCTCCTTTCCTCTTCCTCCTCTGAGAATGAGGTCAGACATTCTCTTCATCTCTCTATGATTATTTGGAAGCTAAATGCAGTGATTCTTTATTAGACTGGTTCAGACTGGGTCTATAAAGCATTGTGTAAAAACAGTCTAATCCCTATCATAATTTGAGTACAAATTGATACCTCTAAAATGTCTAGTCAAGGGTTAGTTGTGCATGCAGTTGATCTATGTCTTATTACTTCTAGAACTGGGGGAGGCCCCCGCATACCCGGTTCTACCAAAACTAATAACCTACAGGTCACAAATATACAACAAATACAGTATACTGTGCATTTTTATGTTTCTGTTCTGAATACATTGATTTGTGTGTTTTTTTTTGTCCTTTGACTCTATGTTCTGGTTGCTCACTGACCTTTCACCATTGATTTTCTGTCTCCAGGTGTCCGATGATGACTCGTATATCAGTGATGTCAGTGATAGCATCTCCATGGATACGTACAGTAACGAGGGAGGCGGCGAGAGGCACAACTCTGGTACATGATACAGTAACGAGTTGTGTGTCTGTGTATCTGCCTGAAAACAACAGAGGGACAGTGTAAATAGACCTCGTTCTTTCACACATGTAGGGCTTGCCTATCTCTGCGCCCTTCAGTGTGTGGTTTTCAGAAAGTGTCAGCATTAAATAAAATATGAATGTGTGGAATCAGACATTTTTTTTTTTACTTGCTCGGAGAACGTTTTGAACACGACCACCTCCAACATCCAGACACACCGGCCAACTCAGTGCGATATTTCTTATTACAGTAACCAACAAAGCATCTGTGAACAAGCATCACTGATTTACTGTGGCAGATGGTGTTTATTTTATATTTTCATTGCACAAACCAGGTCGAACAAAACAGAAGAAAATAGATTTAATGATGTTCAGAAATTCCGATTTTATTTAGTCATCTGGTTTAGACAATATAATTGCAAATTGTGGAGATAAAAAAGTAAAACAATATTGTTCTTTAATCTCTTCTGTATTTTTAAAGCCATACATTGAATGGAGTTTTATCTTTTGCAAGTATGGTAAGACAAACGTAGTATTTAGTGATAATTTTTGCACTGAAGCTTCTAAAAAGCCTGTGCTTGTGCCATTATTTTATTGATTTGACTTGCTCTGCTGCAACAGGTCCACTAAAAGTTAACATTGGTTGAAACAGGTTTCACTGCCTCCTCTGAAGCCACAATGTATCCTCATTTACTGTAGAATATTGAATGCAGGCTGCAGTTTATGAAGTGCCTCTTTGATTGAGGGTGCACAGCTCTATAAAAATGTCATCTCTGTAGCACTGAGTATAGGTTTCATCAATATTAACACCTATGTTGGTTATATAAAGAGATACTTAAAGCAGCTCACAAACCTTGGAGCACATCATTAACAACAGTAATCCAGTTTGGACTGAGCCCTTTGCATTACCATGTGCACATTCAAGTAACGGCCTCTCACACCGCTCCTCCAGTCAGTAGCGTGGGGACCCTGACTCGTCGGCGCACCAATCTGCCATCTCCCAGTCCCACCAGCAGTGTCAGCCTGTGGAACATCTTGAAGAACAACATTGGCAAGGACTTGTCCAAGGTGGCCATGCCAGTGCAGCTCAATGAACCACTCAACACTCTGCAGAGGCTATGTGAGGAGCTGGAGTACAGCGAACTGTTGGACACTGCCAACCAAACCCAGGACCCTTACCAACGCTTGGTGAGAGGAAAGAACACACATGAAAATATTGCATGTATAAGTGTGCACAAGATAAAGTCTTTTAAACACATAGTTATTCTAACTGAACACTTGACATGTATACTCAGTTTGTGTACCTAGACACATGTACATGAACACAGGCTCCCTGTTTAATAGGACGTGTTTTTAGCTCAGTGCTCTTCCTCAGGAAGCTTTTTATACGTTATTCTGATGTTTGTCTTTTGCCTTGTATGTGCTTATGTTAGAGGCTTTATAAGAATCTTTTAATTATCTTTTTTTTTTTGTTTCTGTCTGTGCCTGTTTGGTAAACCCTTAGTATTTGATGCATTTTTTATTCAAGTAGACACAGACACAAACGTGCCATCCACACAAGTCGCAAACCTCTACATACTGAGGAATATACTACACATAGTATGTAGTAATAATTACTCAAACACAAGTACACAAACTTAATAATTGTACCTGCACTTAAATTGGTGTTATATGTGGACATACAAACCCTGACTTCTGTTAGTCAGTTGGTATCTGAAACACGTACATACACACAATTTTAAAAAATTATGTCTTGTGTTTTGGGTACATATTTGTTTACAGTCACATGCTCACATAAACATAAATTGTCATTTACACTCAAAGATACATATTGAGTTATAGTAGTTGTGCGCATACATTTTTGGTGAAACAATCATTGCCTGCTAAAGAGCACAATCATTCATCTGTCCTCTCTGATCTTCTGCACAGGTTTACGTTGCAGCATTTGCAATAACTGCGTACGCATCCACCTACTACCGAGCAGGAAGCAAACCCTTTAACCCTGTCCTGGGAGAGACGTACGAGTGTGATAGACCTGATAAGGGCATCAGGTTTATAGCTGAACAGGTAGAGGTCACACATTTTGCACATGCATACATGCAGCCGCGCCATGTCTCTCCGGTTCGTTTATACTAATTGTAGTGATCTCTCAAAATAAATGAAGTCATGGTTTATAGCTGACAAAAGCTATAGGTATTATCCGTCTGACAATTTGTTTTCAGGGGCTGCAGTGTCTATTGTTTATAATAAAGTACCTTTATCTCATCTAGGGTCTTTTCTCTCCTTCTCCAGGTGAGTCATCACCCACCTGTGTCAGCATGTCACACTGATTCAAGGAACTTCACCTTTTGGCAAGGTGAGCAAGAGAGAGCAGATTTGGAAATAACAAGTAGTTTCCCCTGTCTGCCTGGGCGTAGTTGTAGATTGCATCCCACCTTTATTCCTGGATGTTTGTTACATGCTGGAAGTTATATTCAAAGTGAAAACTGATCTTGTGAAATATTAAGCAATCTCATTTAACTTCATGTAGCCTTGTGGGGTAATTATGTGCTTGATATTTACATTCTGTAACAAATTACTGTGGAGATTGTATTGATGTGACCTCATTTGTTAAATCTGACATTGTGGCATATTGTTCCAAAGCAACTGAACAGCCACTGGAGCCAAAGAAATGAAAGACTTTCTCCATGTACATGAATAAAGATGATGATTTCTCTAAATGTTGCTTGCTGGAGAGATGAAAAAACTAAGAACATATCACAATTTCTATTGTCACCAAACTCTTATCAGTTATTTTGTGATCTGTTTGCTTTTAGATGTCCGATGGAAAAATAAATTCTGGGGCAAATCTATGGAAATTGTTCCCATGGGAACCACACATGTCACACTGCCTGCGTAAGTCCTGAGTGGGTGTGTGTTTGCGTATGGATGAGTGTTTATACGTCCACGCTTGTATCGTTGACATGAGTGTCCATGTCACTGTGCACATTTTAGGCTGTAAGTGTAAGTACTAGAAATGAAACCTATGTTTTCTAACACTTTAAATACTATATATATGTGGTTTGTCCAGCTTTGGGGATCACTACGAATGGAACAAAGTGACATCCTGCATTCATAACATTCTGAGTGGGGAGCGCTGGATCGAACACTATGGAGAGATGGCCATCAAAAACCTCAACAGTGATGTGTGCCATTGTAAAGTCACATTTGTTAAGGTCAGGTGGCTCACATATTCATATCACTGTGCTGTTGTGTTGTCAATGCCTGTGCTTCAACTGGAAATGAGAGAAAGATTGATCTTTATCCCAACTGATGTGAGAAATGTGTTTTTCATGCCTTATTAGTTCCTGTGGGTTGTCACTTGCTCCTTCAACTAATTTCTTGTCCGGCTGTGGACCTTAATTGTACAAAACAGCCATAATGTTGTTTCTCCCTTTTTAATATGTATTGGGTATTCTAGTTTTATGCAGTGTGTCTACTTAGATGCGCTTCTTCATGGTATGCTGTGCCATCAACACTATCACAACCAACAGACGAAAACAGAAATTGTGCCATCAACACTATCACAACCAACAGCGTCCTCTTCTGGACGAAAACAGAAATGAAATTTCAGAAAAATATAAACATGAACACACACAGAGAAATAGGCACCCTGACTCTAATCCTAAACATAAAACATGCAGCATTTTTTTAATTGTTGTGGTGAATACTGCATTTAGGAAATCTGGTCCCATTTCAAATAATATTCTACTGTCTAACACTTCCAGGCAAAATCATGGAGCTCTGCAGTGAATGAGATAGAGGGTGTTGTTACAGATTCGAAAGGAAAAGTTGTACACTCCATTTTTGGAAAATGGCACGAGTCTGTGTTTCAAGGAGACCCACCTTCTGCAACGTGTATCTGGAGAGCAAGTGAGTGATTGATTGGTCCCTGGAAATGTCAGTCAGACAGTTTTTAACACCATAACAGTTCAGTCAAAACAAAGCTATGATTACCACGACACAACAGCTGTTAATTTTTTATGCATATATGTTTTTGTCTGTGTGCAGACCCCATGCCAGTGAACCAAGAGCAGTACTATGGCTTCACCCAGTTAGCAGTGGAGTTAAATGAGCTGGACTCCAGCCTGCAACCTCTGCTGCCCCCCACAGACACACGCTTGAGGCCGGACCAGAGGTTGGCGCTCATTATTTGTCTGATGTTGATTCCTCTGTCTGTCCCTAGACACCATTCCCACCCATTTAGAAATCTAATACTTTACTACTTTTGTTACTGTTGAAACGTCTATTCTGGCGCAATAGCCTATACAGATAATCCTGTAAATGGATTTAAATCTGCTACATCTGACCATTTGAACCCAAACCAGTTTTTACAAGCATGATTGTGTGGGCCAAGTCTGCTTGAGCACATGGAGTGTGAAGCAGTACAAGTCAGAAATATGACCGTAACCATGGCAACAGTCTATGGGAGTTTAGGTCCAGGAGGATGAAGCAGTGTCATGGAAACCTTTTTTTTCTTGTTACAGTGACTATAGAAAATACTTTTACAGTGTGATCCAATCTGCAGATTCTGGACCATTGAGGATCATTTAGGAACTACAATGAACGT